GTTTATTACTTGTCCCGTCCGGTTCATAAATTCTTTCAGGTATCTGACGAGGTGAGAAACGATATTCGCGTGCAGATAGACAAATTGGACGACCTCCGCTATCAGTTGGAAACTGATACCGATCATCATCGACAACGTATACGTTGCCTATCGGATATGAGCAATCGAACGCGGGAAGCAGTTTACGCGAGGGAACGGCACACCAACGAGTTGAAAGATCGTCTAGCGGAGATTCTCGAACGGCTTGGCGACAAGAGCTTCCTGGAGCCAAAGGACGAGGTCGGCCTCGAGTGCGAACGTCAGATGGAAAACATCAACTGTCTGAAGAGCCTTTACAACGAGAGGCTGAAACTGCTGAACGAGTTGAAGGACGCGGCTGTCAGAGATTCGGCTGACACTCGGGTGAGGCTGGATCACTCGTTGAAGGAGCGCGAATGTTTGGAGGAAGACTTGAAGAAGGCTGACGAGAAGGTATTTCATGATACATTTTTTATTCTCACTTAAAGTGTCGTTCAATTCCAGAAAGTGAATTGTGTCACTAATACTTTTACCTATTCGTATACTGACTCGAGTTGCAATGAGAAAAAGCATGCGTGCGAAACCGTGACAGGGAATGCTAGTTTAAGATGTTTTCGATTATTGTCAAGAATGTATGTTGAACACTTGTTGATCTTGGAACAGATCGATGCACAAGACACGGCGATCACGAATCTGGAGTCTCAATTAGGGCTTACCAAGGCGGATTGCAGGGATCTTCAGAATCAGATGTCGTTGATTAATGGCCTGTTCACACAAATGCTGCNTATTATTTACAGTCATATAACAAGTTATTAGTAAATGTTAACAATAAAAAAAAAAATTTACTTCACTTGGGAAAAAATAATTTATGCATTATTATTTGTACATTTGCCCAAAAGCAGTCAAAATGACTTCCTTGGGCAATCTAGTGTTAATTACCTTAATTGTAAGAAATTCGAATTGACGATTGAATTTTAATTCTTAATTAAAAAATACTCCAATCGTCAATTGAGATTTAAAGAAATTTAATCATTAATGTGACGATTAAAAGATCTGCTATTCTGTTCGTGATGAAATCATCGGCATATTAATTTTAAACGATCGTGTCAATTATTTGAATAGGAGAATCATGATTTGATATGCGACATGGCGAGGGAGGAAGGCACCGAGGCAGCGGCGCTACCGAAGCTTCTTTTAGATTTGATCGAACAAGTCGAGGGTAACAAAGGACCTCAGAAACACTCGGAGAGCGATAACGCTGCCGACAGTGAGACAGAAAAGAAAGATGATGACTTGCAACAAGAAGACATAGCTCACAATCTGCCTAAGGTGATTGCACAAACAATAAAAATTTTACGCAATACCCTCTTTTTGAAAATCTGCAGTCAAGTGATTATTAAAAAGTGAATCTGTTTGATATTTAAACACAGTACATTATTTTTACGATTTCAATGCAATGCTTCGTGTCAGGTGTGGCGCGTTTTATTAGAACTGTTGAGTTGCCATGCGGAAGGCGCTCCGTCCACCTCTGCGGCGTCCTTCTCGGACCCTAACATCTGTTACAAGTCGGTCGACACTCCAGCTGGTCCCCGGCTAGTGATCTCAGTCAGCAAGACCTACATTCGTCTGAAGGAGCTGATATTAGAGAAGAAACACTTGGAGAAGGAGATGAACCGAATGAAACAGCTGAACACTCATTTAGAAAGCAAGCTCGGTGAACAGGTATTGTAAAATTCTAATTTCCATTACTTTTAATTGTATAAGCCTTTAA